AACTACTCTGTGTGTGTGTGTGTGTGTGTGTGTGTGTGTGTGTGTGTGTGTGTGTGTGTGTGTGTGTGATCTTTAATTTTTTAACTGAGTCACAAATGAGGAAACTAAATGCTTCCTATGACAGTTGTTTTATAATATCCATTGTTTATTTCTCTGAAAAGGACAAAAAGACTTGTAGTTGATGTGATACGAACACAACCAGGAGATACACTCTTAGAAATCTTAGAAACACCAGCTTCTGCACAACAGGTAAATGTTCTCCTCTTCATATAATATATCTTAATACCTTGTCCTGTATTTAAAATAGGTAACAAATTTCTCTGACCATTAACAATGGAGAAAAATATTCTTTTTTTAACATAACAAATCATAAAATGAAAATACATATTTTTTAAAAATTCTTCAGATCTATCAGGAAATCATTTTTTTTATTTTGGTTCCTTTTTTTTCTTTCATGTAGATAACTTGGAATTAAAATCAGAAATTAATATGCAGTTTTAAAAACTACTTCAGAGATAGCTATTTTATTTCATGGGTCTTACTAAAAAGTCCCATTTAGATCACAGGGCTTATTCCTACTTGAAAATGTTGATCTTTTTGATTGAAGTTGTACTGTCATGTATCCATGAAATTATTTTTAACATAGTTTATGAAAGTGTCTGTAGTCTTTGATTTTTATACCATCAAATGCACCAATGTAAGTTATCTTATTACATATTTCATGAGAAAAAACTAGGATCTTAATTTCAAGCATTTTCCCATTTAGCTTCTTTGCTTATGCAATATAAACAAACAACCATGTGGGAAACTGCCTGTCGCCTTCCTTGGTATGGGAATTGCGTGGGAATCTCTTGTCTTCTGCAGACTTCTCTCAACTGTTGCAGCGTGAAATATTTAGTGGATGCACAAGCTATATCAGTGATGTCAAGAAAAGCCAAAATGTTATCTTTTAAAACAAAAAAAAATGGGGGGAGGGCACTTTTAAGGACTGTGGGCCCTGATACAGAGCCTGTTGAAGTCCATAAGAGACTTTCCACTGATTTGAATGGGTTTTGGATCCGTCCGTGGGACTGCAGTTCAAACACATTTCCTATGTCCCAGCTAACAAATTTACTGATTCATTAATAATGGATAATGTGCTGTGTCCGTAACAGATTCCATGACTTTCCATGACTTCTGCAGTGACTGGTGTGGCTGGCTTCGGGGCTGCCCCAGCAGACCAGGCAGTACCTGGGCCGGCAGCACTGGCTGTGGGAGGGGGCTCAGGGCTTGGGGCAGGGCATTGGGGTGCAGGGCGGTGCTTACCGGAGGGGGGGCTCCCCAGAAGCGTCTGGCATGTCCCTGCAACTCCTAGGTGGAGGCGTCAGGGGGCTCTGTCCATGTTTGCAGGCGCTGCCCTCGCAGCTCTTATTGGCTGTGGTTCCCGGCCAATGGGAGCTGTGGAGCCAGAGCTTGTGGCAGGGGCAGTGTGGGGAGCCACCTTGGCCTTCACTCCCCCTAGGAGCTGCAGGGACATGTAGAGCTGGGTAGGGAGCCTGTCAGCCCTGCCAATCCTCTTTCTCCCCCACCCCCTGCACCAGCAAGGGTCCTGAGCCGTGAGCTGCTGCCTGGCACCCTTCCCCCACCACCCGTGGAGGTCCTGGGCTGCGCACTTCCACCCAGCTCTCCTCTCCCAGCACCAGTGGGTGTCCCGGGCCACTCCTACGGCACCTCCGGACGCGCCCCGCCCCCCCAGCCCTCATTTTAGTTAGGGGTATATAGTACAAGTCATGGGCAGGTCACCGGCTGTGAATTTTTGTTTACTACCCATGACCTTTATTAAAAATACCCGTGATTAAAGTGTAGCCTTAATAATGGACTTACTTTAAGGTGCCTTCAAGAGGCATGCTAAGAGTTTAGTCAACATGGATATAAACATAGCATTTATTTTACACAGTCTTGTTCTGAGTTCTCAGTTATCTCTTTTACATAGAGGTGAGAGCATCTGGACACTTTTTTTATATATTTATTTGTTATGAACAGGTAAGCAACTGTTTTTTTCCATATTTTGTCCAGGAATCCGAGCACTTAAAAGTGGTAGAGAAACGTGCTATCTTAGATTCCAAAACTCCTGAGAAAATGAAGCACAGTCAGTCTATGCTTGAAGATGGGCAGCTACCAATAGAACAAAAAAAAGGAAAATACAAAGAAATCTTCGCACATTGGAACAGGCTGGATTAGTGTCTTCAGCAAATAAGTACCAAGAAATCATCAATGAGATTGCTAAGGTAATTGGAATGTGCTGTTTTCTTTTAAGTTTTCTAAAAATGCACCTACCCTTTCACCATATGCACATGTACATGTGATAAACATCCTCGTACAGAATACCAAACTGAGTCACCTCAGTATGCAAATAATGATTCCATCTCAGTTTGAAAGAAAAATTTAGACCCTCAAAATAAGTGAGGAAATAAATTTAGTTGCTAAAATACTTAAATACATGATTGCTTGAGCTGAATAACGTACAAGGGTGTGCACTTTTCCTCTATTATCCACACTACACAAGTGATGAAGAGTAACTGACAATCTCCAATACTATGAATATTTGTATGTCGCTCTTTTATTGGTATCGATAAACATACACCGCAAATGGCACGTGCTAATGCGAGAGGGTAAGGTACTTTTTTCCATTTAAAATTAAACAAATTTTTCAAAGCACAATGTTTTGAGTAATCACTGGTTTCATCTTTACAGAGCTTAAAAGTTAAGAAACCAAATAAAAATAGCAGTCAGAAAAAGGATTTCCTTACATACCTTTGACATAAGACAAAATAGCTGCAGCAATGATGAAAAACCGTAAAGGAGGGTGTTTTTCTCCATTATCTCAATAAAGAGTTAAACTTGTAGCAACCAACCACCTTGACACAAATCAGAATCCCCATTCTTACTCGTATTGTCCATTTAGTGTAGTTAATGTGAAAATATATTCATTTGCATTAGCTATTGTCATGAGAGAAACACTTTTTTGAAAAGGTAAAAGGTTGGTTGATTGCAAATACACATAGCCAGATACGTTTTCTAATACTGTAACTGAGGGATTGCCTCTCTCCCATGCTGCCACAGTTGTAATCAGAAGGTTGTGCTGAAGCTGCAACCTCCTTGTTACAAGAGGTGTGGTAGGGGGCATCTGGCAGGGCATCCTCTGTGAGATCCCGGAACTTGCTCCCTCCCTTTTCTGAAATAGTCCAGGTCCGATGACCTTCCAGGCCTGCCGCAGAAGACATCTGTTTACAAGGGCTTTTGAAGTAGGTGTAGGGAATGCTTCCTAGACAAATAGGTGTGAAGTTTTTTGTAGGTAGCTGGCTGAGCCCAGACTGAATTGATCATTTTAAAGTTGCTGACATTTTTTAATTGTTAATTTGTGTTAGGGCACTTTGGCACTCTTCTAGTTTGTTTTTTTTAATCAACATAATTTAATATCCAAGGCTGAGAGATGGATACTTTCAAGAGAGTAATCTAGTTGTATCCTTTGAGTATGAACTGATGCAGAACCCACTGTAGGAGTCCATGTGCCTCATGTACAGTTGGAGTCTTTGAATAGCAGCATCCTTCAGGTTCTGTGTGGACCCTGTACTACCTTGAGCTCTTATGCGGTCGCAACCCTCCCGCAGTTCCCTCTTACCACCTGTGGTAGCAAGACTGAAACCAGTGAGTGCCTCGGAAGGAAGGACCAAAATACTAGCCCTCTAGAGACAAATCCTCCAAGTTCTCTGTTGCTTCAAGCGTGGGAGGTGCTAGTGTAGCACAGGGAAGGAGTGATCTTGGCATAGGTGGCATTGCGTGCCTTACAAACACACTGTTGAACTCGTCACAGTGCTGACGTACATAGTGGTAGAGGAGTAGATATCCACATCTGAGACATCCTCCACACAGAGACAACTATAGACATCACCTCCCCGGGCACTGATGTCATGTACACTATGGCACCCTCACTGGAGGAAATATATTCCTTGTTGCTGTCCCTGAGCCATTGATTCACAATGTCAAGAAGGGGGAGAACCTCACAGAAGGTGCTGGAGGTTCCCAGTGGCTCCCCATCATAGGCAAAACACGAGTGGCACTGGGTTCATCAACCTCAGCCCAGCCAATGCCTGTACAGTGTGCATGTCTCAGAGCAGATCCCCTTCTCATGTATCACAAAAGAAGAGATCTCACTTCCCAGTGGCAGCAATGGCCAGGCCTTCCATGCCAGAGACACGTAACTTCCACAAACAGGTTGAGGCTACACAGGAAGAATCCCATCAACCTCTTTCTCCATCAGAAGTCATCATTGTCACTAGATGAAGCAGTAACACTAGCCACAACATTAGCACTGGACTTTAAAGTGTTGTAGGACCTTTCAATCCCAGTCCCACAGACCCTGGACATCACAACCTCAGTAATCTGGGAAAAGTCCCATAAACTCTGACATCCTGAACTTCTCAACCTCTACCAGGATTGTCCTCCTCATTAACAACAATATAGACTAGCTGGTGAAGGGATTTTGGCAGACCTTGGCCGCTCTTCCTGCTACATTCAAGAGGATTGAGAAAAGGTACCAAGCATCATGCCAAGGTTGTGAATTCCTTATGGCTAACCTAACCCAGGGTTCCTGGTGAAACTGGTATTATACACAAATCCAGAACTACAAAGGGCACCCCAAAAGAGGAAGACTCTAAGAAATGGAATCTGTTCGGGTGCAAGTTTTTATTCCTTTGCTTCAGTACAGCTCCATATAATGAACTATCAGGCCCTATTCACAAAATATAACTGTATTACATGAAGGATGAAGTTCTTCCTAACCAAGCTCCTACAGGACAGTAGGGAGGAACTGAAAGATGACATAAAGGAAGTTGCAGGGGACCCTTGTCACATTAACATTGCAACCAAATGGCCTTGTTGCTTCATCTAGGACCCATAGAAGAGGTATCACGAGTTCAGGGGAAAAGGCTTCTGCTCCCCATATTTTCTTCTTCTGCAGAGGAAAGGCGGTCTTTGTCCTATCCTAGACCTGAGTAAACAGAACAAATACATACACCGCCTCAGTTTCAGGATGGTGATGCTTGCCACGGATCTCAGGGCCATGGTCCCTCAGATCCTGGGTCTCTTCAATGTCCTAGGCCTGAAATTGAACAATGAAAAGTCAACTTTATTGCTTCTGCATTCATCAGGGCAGTCTTGGATTTGACCTCAGCCAGGCTTTCCTGCCTTATTCCAGATTTCATACTATATGGGAACTCTGTGGGCTCCTCAATGACCATCCTCAGACTTTTAAGTGATATAGCAGCATTCACATAGGTCCACCCCTAATGCCAGGCTGTACCGGAGAGATTTTCAGGCATGGCTCAAGTCAGTTTATTGCCCTCAGATTCATCATCCAGACAAGCTGGTGTGCATCCCTGACAAAGTACTGCCATGAGCCAAGACTCCCTGTGCAGGGGAGTTCTTTTCTTTCTCCCTATCCCTATCATGACTTTGGTAATGTATGGCTCAACTGTGGGTTGGGGAGTGCATCTAGGTTACACATAAAGTCTGCAAATTACATGCAGTATTCTGTGAATATTGGTAGTTCCTGATGCACATTTAGGGCAAGACTTTCCAGCGCCACCACAGCAGTGTTTTATGTGAACAAGCATGGGGGTGCCATGTCAGACAGCCTCTGTTAGGAGGCAGTCAAGTTGTGGAACTGGTGCATTCAGAACTTCGTCAATCTCAACGCATCACACCTGCCAGGCTGGCCTGGCAATTAGCCTGGGCAAGTCTTTCAATTTGGAACACTAATGGTCGTTCAACACAAGCATTCTAATTGGTGTGTTCTGTCCATACATCTGTTTGCAACTCTAAGGAACAGGAAGTATTCCTGCTTCTGTTCTAGGGTGGATCACAGCCCAGGGTCAATATCAGACGCTTTCCTGTTTCTGAGAAACAAAGAGCTCCTCTGTGCTTACCTGCCAATACCCCTTATTCCCAGGGTCATTCTCAAGCTCAATCAAGATCAGGGCAGTATTATTCTTATAACTCCAGCCTGGCTGAGACAGACATGGTATTCAAACCTCTGCAAATTGTTCACTCATAAACCTTCGTTGCCAGTAACCTGAGACCTCCTGACACACAGCCATGGGTGGATGCTGCACCCAGACTTGTAAGTGCTGCACCTTATGGCATGGTTGAATGCAGAAAAGGCACATTGCTCAGTTGCAATCTAGAATGTGCTCCTTAATAGCAGAAAGCCATCCAAAAAAGCTATTTAGTTGAGTTAATGAAAATGTGTTTTCCATCTCAGCAGCCTCTGATAATGTGGCCCTGACTCAGATGAAGATTTAATCAATTCTGGACTATCTTTTGCTCCTTAAGGAGTCAGGGCTAGCTCTTAGCTCTATTAGGGTGTCTCTAGTGGTCATCTCAGCATTTCATCCTCACATAGATGGAAAGACGGTCTTTGCTCACCCAATCACTACCAGGTTCCTGAATGGTGTGAATGTTTGTCAGAGCCGCAACATTTTCCTGGCTTTAAATCTGATGGTGTCTGTGCTTATGGACCCTCCTTTTGAGCCTTTACCATTGTGCTTGTTTCTACACCTGGCAGCAAAGGTAATCACCTTAGCAGCCATTATCTCTTCCAGTAGGGTGGGAGATCTGAGTGCTTTGGTCATGAATCCACCCTACAGTGTTCTACAAAGACAAGGTTCAGCTGAGACCACACCACAGATTCCTCTTGAAGATGGTGTCCAATTTTAAGTTGAATTAGTCTACCTGCCTACCAGGTTTCTTCCCAAAATTGCGTATCCATAAGGAGGAGGAGCAGCTCCATACCATGGACATTCGCGCATTGGTGTTTTTAGCTAGGTAGGACAAAGCCTTTTGGGGGGTGTTTTTCCAGGTTTTCATCTTATGCGGAACGTATGAGAGGCCACCTGATGACAACTCTCACAGGCTCTCAAAAATGGATCACCAGCTGCATTACAGTGTGTTGTACTGCCAAAGGAGTAATGTCTCCTGACAAACTCTCAGTGCACTAGACCAGAGCTCGTTCGACCTCAGCAGCATTTGTGGCACATGTCCCAGTTATGGACCTCTGTAGAGCAGCAAAGTGGTCTTTTGTAGTTATACATTTGCCAGGCATAACTCAGTCTGCTGCATCACAGGAGAATGCAAATGTTGGGAAAGTGGTCCTACAGACCCTCTTCCAATGAGACTTTGTGCCCTGCCTCCTGGAGTATCAGCTTGGGAGTCGCCAAAAGTGTAATGGACATATGTAAGCACTCAGAAGACAAAATGGTTACTCACCTTCTCATAACTGTTGTTCTTTGAGATGTGTTGCATATGTCCATTATACAACCCACCTTCCTTCCCTGATGCTTCAGCCTTTATATCCTGGCTTTGGAGCATGAAGAGTTTAGCAGTGGGTGGGGCCTTTATGGATACTGCTGGGGAAAACACTCCAGCACCAGTGCGTGCACATCTACAGCATAATGGACCTATGCAATATATATTGAAGAACAGTGAGGAGAAATCCTGCATGTTGTTAGGGGGGTAAACTAGATCAGTGGTTCTCAACTTGTGGTCCATGGACCCCTCTGCAGGCTATCTCTAAGGAATCCACAGAAAGTTGTCATTACTATAGAACAGGGGTTTTCAACCTGTGGTCCGTGGGCCCCAGAGGTCTGCAGACTGGCTAAAATGTCCAAAAGGGTCTGCCCCTCCATTCAAAAATGTTTAGGGGCCCACAAATGAAAAAATGACCCTTGTGGTCCCTTCTAACCCTGTGATTCTATGCAAAGGAGAGTAACAGTCTTTTTTTTCAAGAAGTAGTCTGTGTGGGTCCTATGACCAGCTCTCAAACTCAGCTTTGAGTCCTTAGCAACCCAGGCTTTTGCTTGTGGGGCCCTGAGGAAGATTGTGGCTGTTCTGCCCTTTATGCCCTTGCATGGGAGCATGAGGAAGCACAGAACATGTGTGGCCTCAGGCACTGCTAATCAAGACTCCAATTGTACACACAAGGGACATGCGCACCTACAGTGGGATCCACACTAACTACAACATCTTGAAGAACCACAGTTATTATAAGTAACAGTTTTTATTGTGTTTTAAAGACCTAAAAATAATCATCACATGAATAGATAAGTCCTTTATATTCTGCAGTGTCCTAGAACGGAGTCAGAACTGTCAATGGCTTTTCACCCTATCCCAAATATTTGTCTGATTCTTAAAATCTGACCTATTTACTTGGTCCTCACCACTGTTTGTAAATTATATACACTGGAGTGAAGAAGCTGACTAAGTCTCTACCTGTAGCATCAGTGTATTGGAAGAAATAACAAACCATTCAAAATAAAGGTTTTATAGATTTTCTTAACTAGTTTTCTTGACTTCTTTGGGTCCTCAAATAAGTCAATGGTCATCGAATAATGGTTTATTTGCTGAAACATGGACTCTCTCTTCAGCATAATAGGCAGAAATAATTATAAATGATAAAAGAAATATGCTTTTATAAGCAGCTGACTAAATTGCACATAAATGGGTTAGGAATGTCATTATCCATTTGGCACAACTAAATGCTATTCTTTGTACTCATAGGATTTGTATCTGCACTTTAAAAAAACCACTTCTGGGAAATATGAGCAAGTGCAATATTATAATTCATGTTTTTCCCCAGTAAATGAGTGAGCAATAAGTTACTATTCAGTCATAGAAGTATTGAACAGATTTTGGTGGCGGTTTGTGAGGAAATAACTTTATTTTAAAAATTCAAATCAATTTATTATTCAATAAAACAATTCAATTGAAAACTTTTTACCTTAGGACATCCGAAATCAAAGAAGATACCGACATCATCGAAAAGCTGAATTAGTGAAACTCCAACAGACTCTGTCTGCACTTCAATCCAAGACAGCATTTTATGAAGATCAAGTAAATTATTACAACACCTATATAAAAACCTGTTTAGACAACTTAACAAGAAAGTGAGTTGAAAGATTTCTTTTTAATGTCTAAAGAGTTCCAAATGCCATTGATGTAAGTGGAGGGCTTCACCTTTTAGTTGAAAATTTGAGTATAATTCACATGTAAAAAGTGAACCAGAGTTGTCACTAACTATTGAATAACTACACAGCAAAAAGGAGACAGTGATAATAAATTTCTTTGAAGCCTCCTTTTAAAAAGCCTTTTTATATATATATATATATATATATAATAAAAAAGTACTAGACAGGTATTGTTTTCTAATTTTATTTGGTT